TGTGGGACTTCCCTGGTGGCACAGCGGTTAAGAATCCGCCTGCCAATGCAGGGGACACAGGTTCGAGCCCTCGTCCGGGAAGATCCCACATGCCATGGAGCAACTAAGCCTGTGCACCACAACTACTGAGCCTGTGCTCTAGAGCCCATGAGCCACAACTACTGAGCCCATGTGCCACAGCTACTGAAGCCCGTGCGCCTAGAGCCTCTGCTCCGCAGCAAGAGAAGCCACTGCAATGAGAAGCCTGCGCACCGCAGTGCAGAGTAGCCCCCACTCGCCGCAACTAGAGAAAGCCCGCATGCAGCAACGAAGACCCAATGCAGCCAAAAATAAATAAAATAAATATATTTTTTAAAAACCTACCAAAAAAAATAGTTTGCCTGAGGCTACAGAGTAAGTGATAATGCTGGGATTCCATCAGAGCCATCTGGCTCCAGAGTGACCTGGCTCTTGGCCACTGCAGTCTACTGCCTCTTGTTTAATTTAGAAGGATGAGAGGAACTAGTTTTCTGTAGCAACAAGCTCAGTGAAGCAAAATGACTTGCCCACAACCTCACAGCTAGTAAGTGACAGACTCTGGGTCCAGGGTCTTCCTGACTCTGCAATCCAGACTCTTTCTACTCTCAGCTCTGACCTCTGGTTTTTCCTCCTGTCCAGGTTTCCCCTGCTGTGTTCCCTCTGGCCACCATGTATCCCCTTGTGCTTGCTCATCTTGTTCGTTCTTGACATCACTGCTCCTCTCAACAGTAGTACAGCTAATTTTTTTCTTTTAAAATTGAAGTATAGTTGATTTACAATGTTGTGTTAGTTTCAGGTGTACAGCAAAGTGATTCAGTTGTATATATATATTTCTTTTTCAGATTCTTGTCCATTATAGGTTATTACAAGATATTGAATATAGTTCCCTGTGCTATACAGTAGGTCCTTGTTTTTATTCTGTATATGGTAGTGTGTATCTGTTAATCCCAAACTCCTAATATATCCCTCCCCCGCCTTTCCCCTTTGGTAATCATAAGTTTGTTTGTCTGTGAGTCTATTTCTGTTTTGTAAATAAGTTCATTTGTATCATTTTTTTAGATTCCACATATAAGTGATATCTTTTGATATTTGTCTTTCTGTCTTACTTCACTTAGTATGATAATCTCTAGGTCCTTCCATGTAGCTGCAAATGGCATTATTTCATTCTTTTTTGATGGCTGAGTAATAGTCCATAGTGTGTGTGTATATATATGTACCACGGCCTCTTTATCCATTCGTCTGTCGATGGACATTTAGGTTGCTTCCATGTCTGGCTACTGTAAATAGTACTGCTATGAACATTGGGGTGCATGTATCTTTTTGAATTAGAATTTTCATCTCTTACAGATATATGCCCAGGAGTGGGATCGCTGGATCATATGGTAATTCTATTTTTTGTTTTTTAAGGAACCTCCATACTCTTCTCCATAGTGGCTGCACCAATTTACATTCCCCCCCAACAGTGTAGGAGGGTTCCCTTTTCTCCACACCCTCTCCAGCATTTATTGTTTATAAACATTTGGGGAGGGGCAGTGCCACGCAGCTTGCATGATCTTAGTTCCCCAAACAGGGATCCAACCCAGGCTCTGGCAGTGAAAGCGTGGAGTCCTAACCACTGGACCGCCAAGGAATTCCCTATTTGTGGACTTTTTGATGATGGCCATTCTGACTGGGGTGAGGTGATACTTTATAGTAGTTTTTATTTTCATTTCTCTAATACTTAGCGATGTTGAGCATCTTTTCTTTTGCCTGTTGGCCATCTGTATGTCTTCAGTAGTAGAGCTATTTTTAAACCTTTATCAACAGCAGTATGCAAAACAATAAAAATGATCAGTGTTGTCTAATCTTTTCTGAAACAAGGGGAAATGTTCATTTTCTTTCTTCTTTTTATCTCCATGTACATTCCCTCCATCTCTTCTTTCTTTAGTAGTATTACTTATATAAAGGATGGGGAATGGGGTATTGGGGGAGTTTATTCTGGGCTTTGAAAAGCTGAGAAATGTTACCCTTCAGTTTGACTGTGGAGGCTGATAGATTCTGTGACCACTAGAGGGCACTGTGAGCCCACCTTTTGTGAATGCAGACAGGCAGCTGTTGGAAATCCGTGACTGTGGACACTCCCACAAACCAGTTGTGCATTGCAGTATTTTTATAGGAGCGCCAGATCTTGGGACTGAGCAATAGTGGCCACTTTCCTACCAAAACTCCTGAATTAGACCCCTGGAAGAAACTCCTCAGGGTCCAAGAGGAGCTTGGTTTGGGGGACTCCCTGTGGCTGTGCTGCTGCCCTGAGGTCTCTGTGCTTTAAGCCCTCCAGGAGGCTCTGCCCTCAGCTGCTCCATTGGGCCCCCCTTACACTCAAACTCAGTCATCCATCTTCCCAGCTTGTGAGGCCTGCCTCTTTTGGTACCAGATTCTTTTTTTTTTAACATGTTCTCTTGTCTGAGAGGTCTGCATAAACACTGCTTTTGAGCAGTATCTTTAGTGAAGGAAAATGAAGCATAGCTTTTTTTTTTTTACATATTTATTGGAGTATAATTGCTTTACAATGGTGTGTTAGTTTCTGCTTTATAACAAAGTGAATCAGTTATACATATACATATGTTCCCATATCTCTTCCCTCTTGCGTCTCCCTCCGTCCCACCCTCCCTATCCCACCCCTCTAGGTGGTGCATTCTTTTAAGCAGTATGTCCACTGCCCCAACCCTTCCTCTGCTTGTATGAGTCATTTTTTAATCTAAGAAATTGAAAAGATAGAGAAGCATAAAGAACAACCTAATAATAAACCCCCACATTCCCACTACTCAGAAATAACTTTTAAAAAACCATTTTATCATATTTGCTTCCAGCCTACTTTTAAAAAAGAAATATAGTGTAACAGATTTAGCTATAAAGTCCCCTTTGACCAACCCTCCTGTCCCATTTTTCCTCCCACTTTCCCCTTCCTCCACAGAAAAACAACTGTCTGAATTTAGTGGGTTTCCTTCCAGTCCATTTTTATATTTTCATATGTGCAAATGAAGCTATGCATCCATAAACTATGTATTGCTTTTGTCTGCTTTTATTTTTTTAATTATATTTTTTACTGAAGAATAGTTGATTTACAATATATTAGTTTCAGGTGTACAGCACAGTGATTCAGTATTTTTATAGATTATACCCCATTAAAAGTTATTACAAAATAATGTATATAATTCCCTGCTCTGTACAATATAGTTTTGCCTGCACTTAAAGTTTTTTTTTTAAGTTAATTTATTTTATTTATTTTTGCTGCATTGGGTCTTCGTTGTTGCATGTGGGCTTTCTCTAGTTGCGGCGAGCGGGGGCTACTCTTCATTGAGGTGCGCAGGCTTCTCATTGTGGTGGCTTCTTTTGTTGTGGAGCATGGGCTCTAGGCGCACGGGCTTCAGTAGTTGTGGCGCACGGGCTTAGTTGCTCCGCGGCATGTGGGATCTTCCTGGACCAGGGATTGAACCTGTGTCCCCAGCATTGACAGGCGGATCCTTAACCACTGTGCCACCCGGGAAGTCCCTGCTCTTAAAGTTTTAATTTTCATCTCAATTATGCATGATATAGTTTGAAAAGTCAAATAGTTCTACAGGTCTTGTTGATTAAAGCAGCTATCTCAGTACCCCATAATTTCCTGTTCCTGGGAGCCAACCACTTTATTTTAGATGATCCTTGTGATATTTACTTCCATATGTCTGAATAACATGATAATGCCATCTCTTGAATGTTCATTTCAGGTGTTATCATTTGACCTCCCAATATAGAGAATATAGAGAATATGGATTTAGCCCTTTTTCACTCTGCCTACAAGGAGGGAAAAAGAGATGGAGGGGGGAGGAGTCAATAGTGACAGTTTTGAAAGCTGGAAAGCAAATGAGTGGCAATTTGGCAGTCTTGAAAAAGCTAAAATAAAGTTTTAGCCAGCACTAGGGAAAACTTATATTGCAGCACCCCTAAAAGACTCTGAATTGGAGGCAGCAGGTACTTTAGAAAGTAGAAATGAAAGCAGGAGGATTGGTTTCTGACCCCCTACCTAACTCTGAACGGTGAGATGACTGCCCTTCCCAACTTTGGCTGCTTCTCAGTTCATTCTCTGGAGAAGGCAAACAGAGGGTCTGTAGTATTTGAAGGCATTATCTTCTGGCTTCCAGAAGTTCATTTTAAGAAGTTCAGTATCTTTCTGACTCTTGAACTGTTGTAAAAATGTTCCTTGATCCACTCCACATTTGAAGGATTATCTCTTTGTCCCCAGAGTTTGGAAATGTAATAGTGATGTGTATTAATGTAGGTTTATTTTCATCTATTGG